CCCGCGCCCCGCGCACCTCCTCCGTGTCTCGAGGCCCCCTCCCTTCCCCCACCTCCGCCGCCGCCGCGCCCCCCACCTGCCCTCCGCGTCGCTGTCCCTAGCACCCAGGCCCCCGCTCCTCCTCGCCTCGCGCCGCTCCCTGCTCTTCACCCCCCGCGCCCACGGCGACCACCACCATCACCACGGGCACACTCACCACGGGCATGGGCACGGCCATGGCCACGGGCACCATGGACACGGCCACGGCCACGGCGGGGTGGACGTGCAAGGGGGAGGCGGGGGCGCGGCGGTCATGCGGATGGCGAGGGCGATCGGGTGGGCTGACGTCGCCGACGCGCTGCGGGAGCACCTGCAGCTCTGCTGCATCTCCCTCGGCCTTCTCCTGATGGCCGCCGTCTGCCCGCACGTCCCGCTGCTCAACTCAGTCGGGCGCCTGCCGGCCGCGCTCATCGCCATCGCCTTCCCTCTTGTCGGGGTAAGATCCGCTGACGCTTCCCAGCTGTTAGTTTCTATAAGTTAGGAGTACATAGGAGCAGTTGAAGTACCAATGCCAATCTAGTTAGAACCATGCCGTTGTAACTTCAATTGACTTCTAAGCATATTCTGAGGATTTTGTTCATCAGAGGAAGTTTTAGTGAATGCTTTCATTTCATGACATTGAATTTTGTTGAGAAATGTGCTCTTAAGAGATTACGGAGGAACTGCTAATGTGATACCATTATGGAACCTTAAAGTTTTTGTTCAAGCTGATAAAATTGACCAGTGTGAATTCAACAAAACTTCTGAACACCTGAGTTGATAACTTTGATACTGTGGGGCTGTTTGGCTCACGCCCACACCAGCCCCGCCAATATCGGGCTCGCCAAATTATTGGCGAAGGTTTTGGCCGCCGCCGTTTCGCCAACGCGCGGGCGCTGAATCTCAACGAACGACCAAAAAATTGGCATGGGCAGCAAAAACTGGCTACGATCCAAACAGCGGCCAATACTAGCGGTCAACGCCAAAACTTTGGTAGGGCAGCCGCGGGCTGCGATCCAAACAGACCCTGTAGTACTGGTTTGGGGGTAATATCTAGTGCAGGCTGCAACTCCGCCTATGTCTTCTAGGCATAGCCGGTCCCAAGCCCGGGTAAAGGAGGAGGGTTGTGATAGGCTTGGCGAGCCAACGTAAAAACTAGCCAGTCCCATAGGTATGAAACCCATTTGAGCGAGAATAGTACTAGGATGGGTGACCTCCTAGGAAGTCCTCGTGAAAGGGTTTCATATCTAAGGGTTGTGATAGGCTTGGCGAGCCAACGTAAAAACTAGCCAGTCTTTTGGGTATGAAACCCATTTGGGCGAGAGTAGTACTAGGATGGGTGACCTCCTGGGAAGTCCTCGTGAAAGAGTTTCATATCTAGCCTACCCCAACTTGTTTGGGATAAAAGGCTTCGTAAGTCTAAGTCATCTAGTGCAGGCTGCATATCAGGTCTACCAGCAGACTGCAGACCAACGAAGAAACACTCAAAATAAAAATTGAAAATGAGGAGGTATATCAATTACTCGCTAATAATGCACACCATGGAAAATTTCATTTCCAAACTTCAGAAATCTCTTCTATAGTGGTTTGTTACAATTAGAGCCACTGTTTGCGAAGAAAATCGGTCTAGCTACATTCCATTGGACAGGGAAGTGCTTTGCTGGCTCTGCTCCTTAATACAGAAAAAATAGATGTTTGTTGCTTTGAGATTGCTTGTCTGTGAAATGCTTATGTGACATTTTTCCTGTTTTCATTGTAGGTTTCTGCAGCACTTGACGCTCTTGTAGATATTGCAGATGGCAAAATAAATATCCATGTACTTATGGCTCTTGCAGCATTTGCTTCTATATTTATGGGAAACTCATTGGAGGGTGGTTTACTTCTTGCAATGTTTAACTTAGCTCATATCGGTACATATTTGTGACGCTCTTCGAAATTCTCCCCATTTTGGCTCATGTTTATGAATTCACTGATAGTTTTCTCTTTTGTCGTTATTTCTTTAGCTGAAGAGTACTTTACAAGCAAGTCAATGTATGATGTGAGGGAACTTAAGGAAAATCATCCAGAATTTGCACTGTTGTTAGAAACAAGTGGAGACGAGTCAGCACACTTTTCAAATCTAAATTATGCAAAAGTTCCTGTGCATGACCTTGAAGTGGGTTCTCATATTTTGGTCAGAGCTGGTGAGGTGTGTTGTTTGTTTATTTAAAACTCCCTGTATTCCTATTTTTTTTTGTTCATTGCATAGCCTCTTCACAATCATCACATTGTTATTATCTTTCTTTCAATTGGACTGTCTTCATGTTACTAACTGAGCATAATGCTATATCCTATCTTCTTCTATTCCTTTTTCATGTAGATGCTATTTGTCTAGTCTAGTTCGTTGGGAATTTTATCTCATTGTGGCGCAGTTCTTCTATTCATTAGGCTGTGCCTGTTGATGGAGAAGTTTACCAAGGATCATCCACAATCACCATAGAACACCTCACTGGTGAAACAAAACCTGTTGAGAGAACTGTGGGGGATGCTATACCAGGTGGAGCCAGGAATTTGGAAGGAATGATGATTGTAAAGGTCAGGCCTTTTCTTTTTTCAGCGAAGAGATCGTTTCCAAGTTCATTTTTCTTTGCTTGTTTTGTTCATTAGTCCTGAATGCTTCATTTTCTTATCTTGCTTTATTCTCGTAAATAGGGTATTAGGATGTGTATGTACTGCTATACTGCTCACGCACAAACGTGATTACAGTTATTTAATAACAGGTCTGTAATATTTAACTTGCTAGTCATGGTTGGTACTGCATAGCCATCTTGACGAGATGAAACCATTCCAGACTGACAGGAAACATCATTCTGTGATATTGTAGAAAATGAGAAACAAACCTAATTAATTTTTACAGAATGGACAAACCTAATTGTATTTGTTGGTAGTTACTAGCAACAAATATGCTATTCCTTTTTCTCCTAACATAGCATTAAGTTAGCGCAGTTTATTACGTTTGGCGTGTCTCCTTCCAGAATGTTAGCTTTTCATGCTCTTATTCGGTTACCTTTGTTCTAGGTGACCAAATCATGGGAGGATTCAACACTCAACAGAATTGTCCAGCTGACTGAAGAGGGCCAGCTAAACAAGCCAAAGTTGCAAAGATGGTTAGATGAGTTTGGGGAGCATTATAGCAAAGTTGTCGTGGCTCTGTCTTTGGCTGTTGCACTACTGGGACCATTCCTCTTTAATTGGCCCTTTTTCGGTAACTCAGGTATTCCCCTAAGGTCACATGACATACTGTATTGGTGTTATTACAAATACTTCATGCTTCAGAAAGCTTAGTACTGATGATTTGGCAATTTGTACTGAACTGATGCACTGGACTCTAGGATTGAGCTTTCTGTGCTCTGACATTTTCTTTAGTTTGTAGGGGTTCAATTTACCGTGGATTAGGACTTATGGTGGCTGCATCTCCGTGTGCATTGGCAGTAGCTCCATTAGCATATGCCACTGCAATCAGTTCTCTTGCAAGTAAGGTACTGTCTGAAAGTTTCAACGTTCTTAGCTTTATTGTTTATTTTCTTCAGTTGGTATAAGCAGTGCTTTTTCGACCTCTAAATTTTGTGACATCATCTAGTTGTTTATTCTAATTTTTATCAGTATTTTACTGGGTTATTTTCGACTCATTTTTCTGTTCTATGGTTATGTGCACAAGGGCTGTGAGAGATAAGAGCATATTAATCTGAATTGTTTGTTGTTCTACAATTATATTAGTGCTGTTGCTGTGTGCATGGGAAGATATCAGTTATTACTTTGAGCCCATCTTATCAAACTGTGGTATCTTGGTTGTAGTAGCATTTACTATGACCCATGCTCCTGTTTCTTGAATGAACCTTCTTCTGGAGTGTGATAGTGGAATTATTCTCTTCTTTATTCCTCTGTAGGGAATTTTATTGAAAGGTGGGCATGTCTTAGATGCCCTATCTTCTTGTCAGTCTATTGCTTTTGACAAGACAGGCACATTAACAACTGGGAAGCTTATGTGCAAAGCAATCGAGCCCATTCATGGACATTTGGATGCGAGTAATGGTGTTGACCCTTCTTGTTGTACTCCGAACTGTGAAAGTGAAGCTCTAGCTGTTGCTGCAGCTATGGAGAAAGGAACAACCCATCCTATTGGAAGGTGAGGAAAATGGATAATTTTCCCAAGGGTCATATTTATTTGTTTTATTTTTTTTGCATGCATCATTATGAATTAGAACTATGCAACCCCTTGAACACTAGCTCCCTTGGGTCAAATGTATTGATAATTACTATACCTGCATTGAATTTATAGCCAATCCAGCCATCCAGGCCAATACTCTGCTGATAGCCAGATTTTCATCAGAGTGCTTTGATGAAAGACATCTGCTAGTTCATTTTAAACTATTTCTCAGTAATTACTTTAGTATTCAATTGTGTCTGGTTTGACGTCGACTAGAATCATCCAATGTACAATTTAATCTGCTATGTTCTGCTAGTGTACTTTAAAAACAATATTGTGGTTTTCTTCAATGTGAAATTCAAATATGTGCTTGCAAAAACGGAAGAGGGAATGCAAATATGCAACACCTTTTTTTTTTTTACGTATTTTCTAATTTTAGCTGCAAGATATGTTTGACTAGTCTGTCCTTCAAGTGCTACGAGTCCACACGACACACGTTGAAAAAAGTGGTATGAATCCACTGCTAATCAGTGACGATGAATCCTTGCAATCCCAATATAGTGTGCACCATGCTTGATTTTCACTAGCTTATAGATGAGGTGCCAACAAGAATTCTATCATATGCCCTTAAACTTGGTGTAAACTTTATTGTGTCCTGCCACTATTTTAAGCTTAATGTTCAAGCTCATAATGTTTAGTTTATGTTCTTTATAGTCTCGTGTATGTTATGATTTTTTGTAGAATAATTTATAGCAGCAATTTGATATTGATTGTATGATTCACAGGGCAGTTTTAAAACACTCTGTTGGGAGAGACCTCCCAGTGGTTGCTGTTGAGAGTTTTGAGAGCTTACCTGGTAGAGGAGTTGTTGCTACTTTGAGTGGCATAAAGGTATGTGTAACTTAGACATATATTTCAACCAGCAAAGTCATATGGAAATTGGTAGATATATCAAAGAAGAATTTTCTGTTGGTGGGTTGTTATTGTAGGCTTGACTGCCACAGTGGACAGGCAGGGTTGGCCACTGTATCTCTATATGTAATGTTTGTTATTCTGGAATATGGAAACCATTGTAAATATGCTTAATTTGCAGGGAAATTTTATTTTGAGAGTATTTTCTAAATTTAAATATGCCAAGGTTAATATTGAAATCGATATAGTGCATATACAATTCTTTTTTTTTGGATTTCTCATGCTCTCTAGAATTGGTGTTTGGTGTTGTGAAGGTTCATAAATGAGAGTGGTTTTCGAAAAATGGAGTTATTTGGCTGGATGGTTTGTTTTGTATTAGCTGAATTGCATAATTGTATCATGAGAGGAACACCCTTAAAACAGGATAATGAGATGATGTATCAAGTTTGGATGGTGTAGATCAAATTGGTTTAATAATCTCGTTTGGGTGAAAAGGCAAGAGTGGAAGAAGTCAAAGTGTTTTATTGAAAAATGCCATTGATCTTTCATTTACTATAAGCAACACACTCATCGCATCCCTATTTACTCATTATGCTATGGGTATGTTTCTCGTAGATTGAACAATTAGAATGTACATTGTGTGTTGTTTGGTCAGTACGAAGCATAAGATAACTTGGATCTTGGTATGTTAGGTTGACACTCATCTATTTCTATTACAGGCAAGAGACAGTGAAAATGAGTTTGCTAAGGCATCTATCGGTTCTGTGGAATATATTTCTTCACTATACAGATCTTATGGTGAATCTGAACAAATAAAAGAGGCAGTAAAGTGTTCTGCATTTGGTCCTGAATTTGTCCAAGCTGCTCTCTCAGTAGATAAAAAGGTGAGATAGAAAAATCTTCTCATATAAGTATGCCTTTGATGTTCTTTTATGCTGCTGTACAGTTATTTCTTTGGGATATTCATGTAAGCATTCATATATAATAATTATGTTAATTGATAAGTTAATGCAGGCTTGAGAATTGTTTTGGAATCTAAGGTGGATTACTTGTTGCAATCTAAGCTCATATGTTGCCCCACATCAATAATAAAGTGTGATTTGTTGAACACTATTTTCTTCGTTTGGCTGGTTGGGGTATGGTATATACTGGGAGAGCAAAGCAAAAATGAAAACATAAGTCGGTCTATATACGATAAGTTATGGCAGGCTGTAGTGCCTTTTACCCATAATAAATCTGCTAAATATTCTTGCTGCATGCCCACATCCATTTGAATGTATTATCACAACCAAATCACCATAGAAGTTGTTGATTATCTGAAGGTTTACCTTCCATGTATTATTTATCCGGTCACTGTATCTTATCAGGTAACCCTTTTCCACTTTGAGGATGAACCCCGTACTGGTGTCTGTGAAGTTATATATACCTTAAGAGAAAAGGCTAAACTTAGAATCATGATGCTTACTGGAGATCATGAATCAAGTGCTCAGAGAGTTGCTAAAGCTGTATGCATTGAAGAAGTTCACTTCTCTTTAAAGCCAGAGGACAAGTTGAACAAAGTAAAAGCAGTTTCAAGGGAGGGAGGTACTTCAGTTTCTTGTGACTATCAAATGGCAGTTTTATGAATTATGGTTACAACAGTTTTTTCCCCTTTCATATGTTATTCCATTATCGACATATCTAGCTTAGACACCCACCACTTAAACAAACTGGATTGCTTTCTACTCAATTTCACCTCCTTCCGTGTTGCATGGCTTGATCAAATGCCTAAATGGTTTTCCTCCAACTTCTAGTTACTATTGTATGTGATCTATAACCTACCAGCTACCACCTCAGGTCCTCAGCACTTTTTTCCCGTACTAAACTCTGTTTATTGTGCATTTGAAGCACTCTACTTTTTGCCAGCCCAACTTTTTCTCATAGAAGTTTCCGCTTGCAGTCATATCACCATATGCTCACTATTTGGCCCAAGGGAAGTTACTTCTGATGGCTAATCATTATGTATCATTGCATTTATTTTCAGGTGGAGGTTTAATAATGGTTGGTGATGGTATAAATGATGCACCAGCTCTTGCAGCTGCAACAGTCGGTATTGTTCTAGCACAACGCGCCAGTGCAACAGCGGTAGCTGTTGCAGATGTTCTGTTGTTGCAGGATAATTTATGTGTGGTGCCATTTTGTATCGCTAAAGCTCGTCAAACAACTTCATTGGTAATGTCTCCTTTGAGCTCAGTGTGGAACACTTATAGATACAATATTACTGGTTCTTACAATTTTGAGGTTCATCCTTACAGGTGAAGCAAAGCGTAGCTCTTGCCTTAACCTGTATTGTTTTTGCTGCACTTCCTTCTGTCTTAGGATTTCTTCCTCTTTGGTTGACGGTAAGTTCGTTCTTCCTTGCATAATCCTGTGTTCCATAATTCTTGTCGCGGAAGGAGTAACTTATTGATGCATCTAGGAGATTTAATGACCACTTGCCAATGACCCGAGGCTAACAATCTGTGTGGCATACTATGAGTTGAAAGTATAGGGGTGAAAATATGGTCATTTTATATTGATAGTGAAGTGTTACATGTTTTGACTGGACGAGCATCATTGTATTGTTGTTATTTTTGAAGAAAATCAGTTAAGTTAATTCCGGCGGATAAATTGATAGGCTGATTGAAAAAAAAAACCTGGATATTTGATATGGGTTAGAGTACGTGGTCAGAGTGAACACAAATATGCCAAGTCTTAGATTTTGAACCAGATTTTCCAGAGTTATCTATATGTTAAACCTCTTGATTCACAGGCTTTTTTTGTGATCTATTTCTGCAATGTCTACGTGGTTTTCAATATGTCTATCACGTTGGGATGTGTTTAGTGAGTAGAACACCAGTTGATTCTAGTGGAGAAGATGATCTTATACCCAAAGAATCTACCTACCATACAAAATTAAAAGTGGAGCTTATACAGTTAAGAACTCGGGATTACTTGCGAGCAAAGGGACATTTTACCTATAAGGATCTCTCCCACTCCCGTAGCGTGTGCACATACTTCATTATTATTGTGTTATTTATTGCTATTTACACATCTTGTCCAAATTTCAGGTTCTTCTCCATGAAGGAGGAACCCTTCTCGTTTGCTTGAACTCAATACGAGCTCTGAACCCTCCGACATGGTCTTGGGCAGATGACATCCGACAACTCGTGCATAGCCTAAAAAACTACGTCTCGGCAAAGTTGAATAGCTCCTCCTCAGATTGCTCAGCTAGTACCGTTCCTTTGTAGACATGTATAGCGGCTGTTGTTATCTTTGTAATTTCACTGCATGAGCTGTGGGGCGTTTAGGGCGACAGGTTTCTTCTGACCTGATTTTTATAGGCTGTACTCGTAGCACCACCTTGTAAAGAAAACATGCCTCGTTTCATGCTGTGTTCATAGCAGTGCCAACTGCCAAGCGTCCTGTAATCGAACTGTTGTTGGCTGAGGCTTGTTTGGTCCAGTGCGTCGGGTTGAAGGGCGAATCTGTTGCCAAGACAAGCTACTGTGTAGAGCCGAAGAAGGTCACACGACAAATCTGTGCTGAATACTCAAGGCAACTAAGTACAAAAGGGGTCGCGTCTGTACTCTGACGAAGTGACGATCATTTCATCCTCTAAGGCAAATATTGCAACTGCAGATGTGTTGTAGTTATGGAACACCATTGTTGAGCATCATGCTGAGGCTTGAAACCTGGAACTCCAAGCTCCCGAGCTGGACCAATAAATTATCCGTGAGGTTACTTTGAATTGGCAATTTTTTTCATTAAAAAAATGATTCAAAATCATTGATCGTCAGTGACATGGATGCAGGCAAAGTCTCAAATTAAACCTCGAAAATGCTCGGGGTGGAGCCACGGGTGAAGAAGCCTCTTTCCTGGGTGCCACGCCACCATGTTGGCAGCGCACGTGTCGGCAGCAAATCACCATCGCCGACCTGAAGCATCTTTGGTCGACCACAGCCCGCCACGGCACCAGCCCGCCAGCCTGCGTGGACCGCCCAGGAGAAAGAAAGAGGAACGCTTCTTCGTGTACACGACCAACGTGTCGCCACCACGTCTATCGCCGCTGCCGACGATGGTGCCCGCTATAAATCCGTCCGCAGCCTCATCTTCCCAAACCCCAACCAGTTGAATTGAATGATAGCATTCGCTAAAATCTGCAAAGCGCACACAGCCGAAGCTCGAGCACCTACTGTACTAGACATGCAGGCCGGGAGGAGCGCCATGGAGGCCACCAAGGAGGCGGCGGCGAACGTGGGCGCCTCCGCCTGCTCCGGCATGGAGAAGACGCGGGCCACCCTGCAGGGGCAGGTGGACAAGGCCACGGCGCACAGCGCCGCCGACAGGGAGGCGGCCGAGACGAGGACGCGGGAGCGCGTGCACGGCGCCGAGGAGGTCAAGCGGGACGCCATGCTCGCCAACGCCGCCGCCAAGGAGCGGGCCAGCGCCGGGGAGTACCACCCGTCGCAGGGCGCGCCGGGGATTGTGCCGGGCGGCGCCCCCGTTGGCGGCCACGTCGAGGCCGGCGTGGCCCAGAGCCGGCCGCTCGGCGCCGCCACGGGCACCGGGAGGCCCAGCGCCGCCCATAACCCGCGCGTCGGTGGCGGCGCCGCGCCGGCGACCGGCACCGGCGGGCAGTACCAGTGAGGACGTAGGAGCACGGCCATGTATGTATGCGCGCGTATGTAACCGGTTCAGGTGTATCAGTATCAGTGTAGCAGAGCAATAATTATCTCCCGACGATCATGACAAACTATGTTGATAAGACCGCTTTTCACGACCTCGTACCCTCTCTCCCCGAAAATGCTACTACACATGCGGGTAGCTAAGAACCAGGTACTCCCTCCGGTCCTTTTTAGTTCGCATATAAGATTTATCTAAAGTCAAGCCTCGTAAAATTTGATCAACTTTATAGAAAAAATACTAACATTTACAATGTAAAATCAATATCAGTAGATGCGGCATGACTTAAATTTTCACATTACATAATTTTAGCATAGTAGATGTTGATATTTTTCCATACAAATATGGTCGAACTTTATGAAGTTTGACTTCAGACAATTCTTATATGCAGAATAAAATATATGCAGAATAAAAAGGACCGGAGGGAGTGCGTAGGTGTAGCATTACTCCCGAGACGAATTCCTACCCATGCCTCCGGAGACCACTCGCCTGGAAAATTCACACATGTGCACGCACATAACTTACATACCTTAGCGTGGCTAAGTGTTGTGCACACGTGACTGCTGTTGTGCACACGTGACTGCAGATGCTTCACGCCCGTGCCTGGACACGTGACTGCAGATGCTTCACGCCCGACATTGCCTAATGCATTGGACTCATGTGTGCCACACACCCCTATATGAAAATGACATTTTAAAAATGTCATGAAATTTCAAAAATTCTAAAACACACCCCTATATGAAAATGACATTTTAAAAATGTCATGAAATTTCAAAAATTCTAAATTTTTGGGATATCAAACTGTGTACCACAGTTACCTTCAATGATCATTTTTTCAATGATCATTTTTGGTAGTATAATGCTGGAACCACGGGATGATAATTCCAACAGTTATCTGATTGATTCATACTATTAATGGTTGTACTTCGTCGAATTGGGAACAGTGGGTATGAACGTTTAATGCTCGTGGTAGTCCTACTTTTTTAATGAATATAAGGAAAGAATTATATTTCACATTTGTTTGATTCTTCATGCCTTACATCTGAAAGATAATTTTTAGATGTCCAGTGCTTCAGTTGACAGCTCACTTGTGTTTATCATCCCAATGTGATGATCATGATTTCGCGGGCATACATACATAACACAATATGTAGTGATGAATGAGTTTTCTATTTTCTTTTTCAGCTCAGACACGACCTTTCATTTTGTCGTTTATCTAAATGATGAAGCGATGAAGCAAGCAATGTGTCAGAGTTATGAGTTAATTATCACAAGTGCTTTATTACAGCAAGCAATGTGCCAGAGTTATGAGTTAAGTATCACAAATGCTTTATTACAGAAAGTGCTGATATTAAAGGTGTTGTTTTTTGCGGGGAAGATCTTAAAGTTATTGCTATGCTGGATTTAATATTCTTGAAGTGGGAGGAAAATCTGAAAATATACTACGGCAATCGAATCTGTAATCAAATGTTCTAAATGTATTTTGCTTGCATAAGAAAATAACCATAGTGTTATTCCAAAGAGCAAAAGCCCCCCCCCCCCACCACCCAAAACCCCAGTTCATTGTTAACAATATTGAAAACGAAACCTAATTGACGTATGTCATGCTATTACTATTTTTAATCAAGTTACCTAAGGTAATCTCTTTCTAAGTTATTTTGAAAAGGTGATGGCGTGGATGGGTGTTGTAGGGACAGGGCTGGCCCTATCATTATAGAGGCCCTAGTGCGACTGAGGCACAATGAACATTAACATATTAACACGTAGACTTTCAATAACATATATCGTATATTATAAAAATATAAAGGCATTAACACAAAAAATTAAAAACATAATTTTAGTTGGCAAATAAAGTCTCAATACAATCATCTATATGTGATTATATGATGCAGACAATGATTATAATGTATTCAACTATAAATAACTGTTGAATAAATACAACATGGTGAAGTCCGCCGAGAGGGGGGGGGGGGGCATATGCCCCCCTTCAATGTTGGTTTTTGTTTTGCAAACCAATTTTTTTGCACTTTATTTAAAATGGGCCCTAGGCCGCCGCACCTTTTGCCACGGCCTAGGACCGACACGGAAAGAGACGCACATTTGCAACCATCCATAATGTAAGGATTGCCTTGATGTGGGCACTGACACTTGCATCCTCGTCCAAATGATAGTTTCGTGCAGTAGCTTCAACCTTCACATGCGTAGCTTTCAGTATTCAGTTTGGCACATGCACAATTTGGTTGGTCTATGATGGCCATGTCAAAGGTTGCCGCTGGGACATTTTGTGGGTCTATCCGGCCTGAACAAATCTCAGCTATTAGGAAAGTGTACCCATATGTTGACAAGAATTGCTTGACATCCGAGACTGGGTACATGTTAGGGCGGAGGGCAAGTCTGAGCCCAAAGCCTTGGTCACGACGTTCCCATTCCGTCCATGTCCAGGTGAAAGCTTAATCTTTGGGATCGGCCGATGGCGGCTATCTGTGGTCGTACCCTTCTGGGAGGCACTGTTTTGGAGTCCTAGCGTCGTTGTGGTCCGCCTGACCTTCCGTTGTGGTTGCTCATGATGGAGGTCCCCGTCGGCACCAAACGGTCCTTTTCGCACATCTGTAGTTTGCTTGGTTGTCGGTGGGGTGGTGTGTCGGTGCCCAACACATTTGTATCTTTCCTCGGGTGTGTGTGTCGTGTGCGGGGGTGGCGTGTGTCTGTATCGGTGCCTCGGTTGTTATGTGGTGATGGTTGCTTTATATAATATAAAGCGGGGAAAACTCTTTCTCGTCATATGAGAACTGTCCAACGAGACAATGATGGAACACATGTGCCGCAACCAGGACCCAAGTGCAAAGAATTGGTTATTCACAATGCACGAAGAACTGCCGGAGGACAAGTTCACCACATTGATAGTAATTTTGTTGGCAATCTGGAGCTCCCGGCGTAAGGCGATCCATGAAGACATATTCCAGAGCCCTTATGCAACACATAGTTTCATCACATCTTATATGAGGGAGATTGAGTCTCTTCATAAGTATTTAGTGTGTCT